TGTTGCCATTGGTAGCTTTTCTATTTTAACACTATTGCTGATAATATGCTACAAAGAAAATAGGAAATTAGCTCTAACAAACAGACCAGCAAACTCATATGTATACACATTTTTAAAAGCATTCTCAAGTTCAGATGATAAAGGAAAACAATGTATATTTGATACCTCCAGCATAAGAGAATTATGCTAATTTTAGACATTGAAAAGAAGGGGTCTTCTGATTCAACTTTTTCTTATTCTTATATGGCCTGTAATAAGATACCACTCAGTATTCCACATTCAATAAAAATTAATAATGTGGGGCTGGGGATTTAGCTCCATGGTAGAACCCTTGCCTCAAATGTGCAAGGCCATGGATCTGAAACCCAATACTATAAAAACAAATAAATAAATAAAAATTAAAAAGCAATATTTCTTTAAAAATATTTACCAAGACCATTCTAAGTAAATTTGCATTAGGCTTAAATAATTAAAATGTATTATTTAAGTTCATTTGTAATTTATCTAACTGCCTTATTAGAATGGTCAAATCACCAAATTATTTATAATAAATAAGTCAAGCCCTAATTACACTGCAATAATCTAAGAAAACAAGGCAATATTGTTCATCCTATATAAAACCAAAGACAATAAAAATGTAAAATAATTTTCATATTAGGAGAAATATCCTACATATATCTAAAAGTTGTTTTTAACAGATGTCAATCTGTTGATGTCTTAGTTGACTTCTTCTAAAGTTCAAAAGCTGGCTGCCAAATAAACCATTATTAAGGGAATTTTAAATGACAATGAAAACTATTATATAAAATCATTTTAAATGTTAATTTGCGAACACTTTTGAAATATTGCTAGCTCCAAATTAAAAAACAGATGTAATCTTTATCCATGGTTTGATCTTCAAGAACATTTCAACTATCAAAATAAAAGCTTCTTATTTTTCAGAATGGGTATATACAAAAATCTTTCTATGAAAAAAGATTCTTGCACATACAGAGTTGTCACCTGAGAGTAAGCAATTTGGCCAATCATTCACAATTCCTATTTTTCTGTGGAAGAATACACACCGCCAAATAGCAGATCAAATATGGTTTACCAATTGGTACTAAAATAGGACTGAGCCACTCATTCATATAATCAGCAAAGAAACTACACCATCACCAAGCCAACAAGAATGGGACTGGGGGCTAACAGTCTAGCAACAAGCCCCTTCTTTTCACCATCTGTACAGTCCCTTCAGACTTAACTTTAACCTTCGTAACATCCCTTGCATTTCTTTTCTCCCTCAAGGCTGCCTAATGTTCACTGTAATCATATTTCACCTATATAAAGTGTTGAGGGCCATATTATCTACTAACCACAACAATCTGTTGCCTATCTATGCTCCTCCAGAAATGCCCTCCCATACCAAGGGACAAGGAAAGAGGTAGAAAATGAGGGATATTTGTAATAGTCAGGAAGACTTAGATTTCTACTGTCAAAATAAATGTTTATCTAAGTTAAAAGGTATAAAAGGTATGAAAATACTTTTCACTGAATTTAAAAACATATGTGTATGTGTAGTGTTCATTCATCTGATAAGTGCACCCATGGGCCAAGCACTATTAGAATTATATGGATAATCTCAATCTTTATATAAGAGCTCCATGAAATAGACACTTATTACGACAATTCCCTTTGTACAGATGAAATAACCAAGATCCAGAGAAGTATTTTTCCAAAGCTAATAAGTTAGCACTTAAAAGAAGATGAAATATAAAACCAGATGATATGATTTCATAAGCCACCTTCCTAGAATTCTGCTACACTAGATACGTATACCCTAAAAAGATACATACTTCTTAACTTTTTGTGTGAAAGCAAAAAGTTAGTAGAAAGAGAAAAGTATATCCTAAAAGTCTCTTTTCTGTCAGATAAGGGTATAAAACGCAAGTTTTTTAAAAAAATGTTTATAAACAGGAAGGCTGTATAACTGATGGTTAAGTACATAAGCCTAGTTTAAAACTCAACTTTTGCCTTACCCATGTGCCTAAAAGTTTGTTTCCTAATCTCTAAATCTCTGTTTCCTTTTCTGAGAATGGGAATAACAATAATTGTATATCAACTTTTCTTTAAAATGGGGGTCTTATTTGTATTAGGGTTTAAAAATAATACAGGGTGCTTCTTTAAGTGTACTTAGTAAAATGCAACTGTTGTCACCACTTAAGTACCTAACAGATCTGAGACTACAGGTGAACAAAATCACTTCTATTCAGAAAAAGTTCAGTTTATACAAAGTGTTTCTAAGTACTGCTATCATGTTTACTTGATAATATACCTAAAGATAATATCTTACTAATAATAGATTTCAGAAAGTTAGTATGTTAAGTATCCAATTTGTTAACAATAACTGAGGTTGAATTATGTATCGAGATCTCTGTAAAACACTACATATATCTAAACAAGGAAATTTTATGATCTCTAATTTCAGAAGTTCATAATATTATTGGCAAGACAAAATTATACATGAAAGATGCATAAAATACTTTATGATTGATAAGTGTAACAAAGTTGAATAAAAGAAAAAGAAGTGCATAAAATAAAAGTAAGTTTGGTAAGACTCAGATAGCGTTGAAGATTAGTTAATATTTAGACAGCTAAGGAGAAGAAAAAGAAGCATTCCTGATGAAAGGTAAAATGACAAAACAAGCATGGTTTGTTCAATAAACAGTGAAGAGAAATCTATTATTGGGACTATAGGAAATAAATTTTAATAGGAAGGATACATTGATTATGAAAATCTGGCTATGGAATGAATGTGGACCTGCAATAATGAGCCCCTAAAGCATGGTCCTTAAAACAAATCTTTAGAAGGCATTTGAATATAGAGCTATGTTTCCTTGATTAGAAATGGTCACAGTAGAAATGTTATATATTTCAAAGAATTTAATGGAAACTATGTTAATTTTTTTAAAAGAAAAAACTCTTAGAGATAATTATTGAAGTTTGATGATAGAAAGATATCAGCATATCATTCTGGCTATGATTTTTTTAGATGCTTAACATCTTTCATTACAGTTTTTTTTAATCCAGAATAAATTTAGAATATTATTCGAAAAAATAACAATCATATAATTATATTCTAATATATTCATAAATATCCTGCAACCACCTAAAACATGATAAAAGACTGAGAATAAAACAGACTATTGGGAAGTTCTACTAATCAAGGTTTTACAAATTAAGAATTAATTCAAGAAATTCCATCTACTTCGAAGAAGCATTTATAGCCATTAATTTTAACTCAAAATAGTTTGACCAAATATTTTTCATTTTTGATTATAAAAATTCTAGTTAAGATACTGCAAATAAAACAAAACAAATTATTAAAAGACAAAATTAATGCCAATCTTAAACCACTTTTCTTTGTGGTTTCTGACACTGAAAAGTAAATTTCACACAATGACAAAATTAATACATACTGACATGGATCCCCACAGCTGTTAATACCAGCAACACATGGCATCAACTCCTCACCCAAAAAAAAAAGAAAATAGGAAGAAATAAAACTGGAATCAGTCTGTTATCTACAAGTATGTAGCCATGTAACACCAGTTTCAATAACACAGGTAAAGTTACCCCTCTTCAAAAACATATGGCATTGCAATAAACCCCCAAATTCTTACAAAGGAAAAATAATAATAATTATTATTATTATTACACATAGATAGTTCATAGTTGACTTTATATAACCTATTATTCCTGGGGGTGAATTTCTTTAACTTTGTCATTAACAACATTAAGCTTGGCAGTGTAGCACATATGTTATCTCATGTACTTCTCAATGCAACATTATTTGACACATGACAAAACAGGGTTAGAAAAATTAGGTTTCCCTGCAAAAAGTCCATCCACTATACATATGTACTGAAGACAGAATCTGAACCTGTATCAGTCTGACACCAAAGCCCATAACCAGCTCATATTACTGTCCATAAAACTGAGTCAATTTATGAACAATGATATATAATGGACATAGAGATGCTTATATTACCTAACTTAAAGCATGAAATCTGAAAGAGAACTTACAATCATTATCTTTTAAATAAACTTCTAATTCAATAAGAATATTTATAAATAAAAGACTAAGTGATTTTATTTGTTTTACTGTGTTTCCCATAATTAGTATAATAGTGAATTTAATCAATACGAACTTTTGTTTCAAATGGATTTTTCTAATGTTCAATGAAACCTACCAAATTTTACTAAGTTTCTATATAAATGAAAGTTTCCTATTGAGGTTGAAAGGAAAAGTGGTCATTAAATTATCTACAAGGTAAAATAATAGTAAATTAAAATATTGTCATCAAACGTTAAAGCAATCCAACCTTGAAGCAAAATGTTTACTGTAATGGAATCAGAAGTCCTCAGAGAAAACACTTTTTGGTCTCAACACTTTCAAACACTGAATGAAAACTCACAGTACTATGTACCTCTCTAACTTCCTTTTCAGATATTTGATTTTAGTAACAGGTAAAGACCATCCATTTAAAAAAATCATTCCTTTCAGCATGCTTTCCCTCGTCCTCATGTCCACTAACTTATTAACATTTCCTCTCCATTCATACTCTCATACTACATTAATAGAGGTACACAAAATTCAGAGCGATTCAACAAGAAACTGGCAAATTATTTTGCAAAGTATTGGCACCAAAATATAAATGGTTAAAAATGTTTTTCTGCTGTAACAACCTTTTTACAAAAAAAAAAAAAAAAAAAAACACCTGTCAGTATTGGCCCAACTGTTAGTCAACTCATCTAAACTTAACCAGAGTGAGAGAGAAAGAGACAAAGAATTAAGTCTCAAAAAATGCCAACATACAAGTTCGTGCATTGAGTCCCTATAAAGCGTAACACTTTTTATTCTTGTCTAGGATACCTAGTCAGTTGACTTAGCTGGGATTTTTTTTTTTTTAATAGGAAATGACCCTGATCTGAACTCTATGCTGAGCAAGTGAAACGCCTGCCGGTGAACTATCGATCTGTCCTGGGAATCCGGTCTCACCAGTTCACCTCAATTACTGCTTTGACTCCCCAGAAGGAACAGGGCGCCCAAATCCTTTAACTCCAGAACTAAGCACTTCAGTCACCTCTGGAGGACATCACTTCAGCTCCCATCCCGTTTCACCTGTGATGCTGACGTAGGTAAGCACTTCTTTCCATAATCCCCCTGACAGATGGACCACCTTTGATATGATATTTTAACTGCGATGAAACCGCCATCGAAAATACTCTCTCAAACAATCAGACTTTCCAAATTTAAGTGGAAATTGCCCGTAACCGTCCAAATCCATTGCACTTTGAGAGATATGACCACCAGAGACGGCTGCATTTAGAATACACTCACACAGACCCCATAGTCCAGTATTTTCTTAAACCACACTTGTAGAAAGTACTGACCCACACAGACACACATACATTTTCGCCATCCCCACCATCTCTTGCGCGATTGCCCTAGAAGAGTTGGGGAAAGAGGATACACAGGCTACATGTGACGTTTCATGATTTGTACCCCAAAGTTTCAAGTGCGTGTTACGCTCCTGCAGCCGGAACCTCCAGAGAGGTTAAGAAAGAAAGAAAGAAAGAAAGAAAAGGCGCGGGGAGCGCGGGTGGGATTCTGCTGGCACAAGCCCCGATGGGGCTCGCGCTCTGGACAGGATTTCCCTCCTTCCCCTTCCCCCGCCCACCCGCGCCCTGGAATTCCTCCCCCGTGGAGGGCCGCGAACAATGCGGCCGCCCGGACCCCCGCCCGCCCTGGGAGGCCCGTCACTCACCACCCAGGTCAGTGCCCCGTTGCCGCCAGCGCCGGCTCCCGCGCCGCCGCCCGATTTGGCCATGGCGGGTGCCTCCCGCTCACAGGCCCCGAAGCCGCAGCCGCCGCTCCCGCCTCCCTGGGGTCCGCTGGGCCCACTGCTCCGCACCGACCACTCGGCTCACTGCGCTCCTAGCCGCGCCGGCCCCCGCGCCCCATCGCGGGAACCCGGAGCGGACGTCCGGCCAAGCCCGGGGAGAAGGCCGCGCCGCCTGCTGCCCTCAAACTCGAGGCGCGGCGGTCGCGTCGCCCGGGCCTAGCGCCCCGGTGAGGAGAAGGAAGAGAAAGCCGGAGGCAGCCGGCGGCGGCGGCGGAGTCGCAGCAGCGCTGCCTTCTTGCCTGCCCGCGGGCGCTGCAACCAGCAGGACCGAAGCCCTCCGGGAGGTGCAAGCTGCGCTAGTGCGGCCGAGGAGCCAGGGGCGTCCGGACGTGGCGGGGATGCGGAGGCGCCTTGTCCTCGCACTCCTGGAAGACAGGCTGCTCGGGTCGCCTGAGTCCTCGACGAGGTCTCTGCTGCTGCCTCAAAGGCCGCCTTCGTCCGCCACGCTTCAGCCCTGGCTTCCTCACATCCACACACCGAGAGGGACAATAAACAGAGCCGCCGCCGCCACGGTCGCCTCCCTCTTGTCCGGCATAACACCGCACACACACACTCGCACACCGGGGAGGGAGGGTGGGAGGGAGGGCGCGGCGACCGTCCCTGCTGTCAGTCAGCTCCCTGCATCCAATCAGAGCCTTGTCTCCACAGCTTCTTGACCAATTCCAAAATTCCAAGCCCCCGGAGGGGCGGGACCCGAGGGGGAAACGTCATTGCGGGTAGCAACCGAAAGGAAGACTTGGGGTTTTTTGTTTGTGTGTGTGTGTCTGTGGGTTTTCCATTTGAAGGGAGAGCAGGGGCTGCTGTCAAGGGTCATTTGAGGGCGGCAAAGGGAAAAGGTCGAATTGGCCTCGGGTCGATTGTAATCCTCCAAGCGTGCTGTTTACTCTTAGAGACCTGAACGGGAAGCCTGGGCGTTTCTTTACCAGGGGCCTCTAAGGGTGGGGGTAGGAGTGGCAGGAAGCAGCCAGGGGCCGTCCCAAAGGGAAATTATTTTTAAAGAGCGGTTGTAAACCGCAGGCAAGATGTTGTGCAGCACTGGTGCAAGAAAGGCTCCAAGTAGACACTGCTGTCAGGGGGGGGGGGGGGGGGGGGGGGAATGCATCTACTCAGACCTTCTTCGTCTCCTTCCTCCTTTTTCTGCCTGCAGCCCACCCCACCCCCCCAAACAAGAATGTGGTCAGTCTCAAGACCACTGCATTTACAGAGCTTCAATGATAAGGGACTCGCAGAGAACCTTCCAGGGAAAGAATGTAGGGTGGCTTTAGTGTTCTGTTTCTACTCCGGTTGACCTTTCTCTCCTCAAACAATGCAGAGGTGTCGCTGTCACTTTTTTCAACTCTCCAGATGTGCTCTCTACCTCAAAGGGGACACACTTAATTTAACTACTTTCAGTGGGATTTTCAAATGCCTACTAAGGAATAGTTTCATTCTCATTAAAGCTTTCTAAGAAAAAAAAAAAAATTACCCATACAGCAACACCAAAGTCTTTGGCAGATGGAAGATGGCTTTACTTCATCCCGATTTTCAATGTAATTCCATTCAACAAGTATTTCTTGGGCACACACTCTATCACGCTGTGCCAGGCTCTGAAATGGGTTCAAAATTATAAACAGCCTCTGATTTCAAAGTCCTTCATACTCTGGTTTGTAAGACAGACTCAAAGGGACTTAACTGTCACCAAAATTTATATATAAATTGCTGCTTCATGAAAGTGTTTTTGTAAACTTCTCTTCCAACTGTGTATTTCCTCTTGAGGGAAAACAAAAATGTCTCAGGTCATATCTTTCAACTGCATTCCAAGTCCAGCGGTGGGGAGCTCTGAAACATGGAAATAATTTAAACATAGTTGTTCTTAATTAGCTCCCTGGAGGCCATGTAATTTTGACATATTTGGGACTTTGGTTCAGAACAGTGAAGTCTTTCTTTACCTTGAACTTGAGGTGCAAACTTGTAAATCAGGCAGGCTAGGGTCTAATCTGAGCTTTGAATCTGACCAACTAAGTATCCATGGCTTTGTTATTTAACTTAACTTCCTCAGCTTATGTCTCATTAAAAATGAGGTTCTTTACTCTTTTTGATGACTTTACATCTCAAGTCCACATATATTTTATATTTGAAAAGTGGTGAATGATTTTAAGGGCTGAGATTTTTATAAATATCTATACATCAAATAGAAGCCCAACTATAAAATATCTCCTTTTTAAAACTTCAATTTCAAAACTATTCAGCTTCAGATTTTGAAGTGAATAAAATATAGTCAAAACTAAAATTTTTAGATAATGAAAGTAATTTCCATCTTTCACTTTGCTTCTTATGAGGCACTATTGTGTCTTTAGCCATTTAAGTATGAATAAACCCTCTAATAAGTGAGTTTATTCCTTTAAATGCTGACTTAAGAGGATCACAAATAAGAATTATTGAATGCACAGGCCAACCAACATTTTAAAGCAGAGATTTGTGGTGAATGATAAAAAGCATTTAGATAAAATGTATCCCAGCTTCTAAAAAACTGTTAGTCTTTATGCAGCAAATATATTTTTATAGCAAAATTAATTGTTTCCAACTTGAGCACAACTTGCTCTTCTGGGGGTAATATCAAGTAATTTTCACTTGCAAAATAATAACTGCTCTATTAAGAAGCATCTATAACAGGAATTTATAATATCAAAAACAGGACAAACCTATGTATAACATTTAAAGAATTTCTACCCCATAGCAATTCAAAAAAATTCTTGAATCAAAATTTCTAAGAAGCTTCCATGAGAGTTTATCTTAACTACTTCAGAATTTGTTTTCAGATCATGTTTCCCTATTGCATCAATCCAAAAATAATGTCTATTTTGTTAAGTATTCAGTATCTGAGAATTTTAAAAAGTTGATGAAAATAGTCTCTGCATTGAGTTCACACCTATATAATTTTGAGTTAATAGTTTAGATCCAAGGGCAATTTTATAGTTACTCCATTGTTATTCAATAGTTTATTCAATGAGTTACATGTGTCATTATACTTTTATACACAGTAAGTAATTTAATCAATAAATCATCTAAGACAGCAATTCCAAATACTCATTTTTGCAAGTGTTTGAATGCCAAACTTGGAAGTATATGGCAAAGTTTCAATTATTTCTACTAAAATTATGCACTGTTCCAGCACTGGTTCAATTAGAAGGTAGGGGCCTAATCTTTAAACTAGTAAGATTTAAAGCAATCAATAAATAAATTCAAAATTCAGTGTCTGTCATTTTCCCCTCCCTTCTCCTTGTGTTAGTTGTTGTGGATACTTAATATGTACAAAGTTGCTAAGTTAAGAACAGGAAAAAAAAAATTGCAATGTCTGGACAAGAGTATAGTAAGTGTTATCTAAACAATGACAAAAATGTTTAAATGTAATGTAGTTTGCTACATTTCTTTAGAAGTGAGCTCAAGGGAAAAAAGAAAGTTACTAACAAGATAGGTTTTTTTTAAATTCTTTTTCAGCATTACTATAGTAGATTAATTGATTTTTTCATACTAATTTCTCCAAACATATTATAAGTTGTTTTTTGTTTTGTTTTGTTTTGTTTTTTTACTAAGGTACTTAAGCACTAAAGGTAGCAAGTATTTGTGGAAAATGGAAGATCTCTGTAACAACCATATTCTTGAGTTCTATTGCCACAGGGAAGAAAGAAAAAAAAATTAAGACCTGTAAGTATGGGGCACTTTGTTTGACTTTTGTTTTGCAACTGTTTAATTTTATTGAGTTTGTCCATGTAATCTATACTGATTTGACAAGGTTCTAATTACTTGTATAGACAGAACCATCTTCATTTATTTTACATGATATACACCAATAATAATTCAGGGCTCTTAGCTGCTCTACTGAACTATATAAAGTGGAGAATATACTTAGATATACCTTATTTGAGAAACCTGTTCTTGGCCTTTGCAGGAAGTCTTATAATAGGGTAGACATTTAGAGAAACATCTTTTTCTTAGAAAGGCCTGCTTTAAGGAACATTATATATTACCTCATCAACAGAATATTGAACAATCCTAACATGTGTTCTAAGTTGTATTTGAAGTTTCTGGTTACTCAGATTCATCTGATTCAGTTACTCCATAGGTTTATAAGATTTAGACCTAAGGAAATGAGATAGCAGTGACTTCCTAACTCAGCCACTTCAATTTCAGAAGTGTGAGGAATGCTACAGGCAGAGTTGCCAAGTTGCTTTCATTCTGCAGTATATTACAAATTTTTAATCTGGGCCAGGCATAGTGGTACATGCCTGTAATCCCACTGGCTCTGGAGGCTGAGGCAGGAGAATGCCAAGTTAAAGCCAGCCGCAGCAACTTAGGAGGTGCTAAGCAAATTAGGAAGAACCTATCTCAAAAAAAAAAAAAAAAAAAAAAAAAAAAAAAGAGGGTGTTGAGAGAGTCGGGAAGGTTTAAAAATATCTGCACCAGAAGAATCTAAGATGTAAAGCTTCTATGTTACAGGAGCTTCTAGAACAAAACCAAACAAGTACCTGAAAGTTGTCTAAGGTGTTAAAGATCAAAACTTTGAAAAGACATCATCTTTTAGTATGCCATTTAATAAAAATCAGGAGGCTGATTAGACCACATACTTTATATAACTAATATCTTATCTATTTACTTTTTTGCCTTGAGAGAGTGTTGGAATATGAAACAATCCAGAAGAAAGCTGAAGAATGATGACTTTTAAAGGAATATATTTCCAGTTTAAATGTTGTTGGGGAAAGTAAAAGAATAAGAGCAGTGTGCTCCATAAATGATACTCTACATTGTACTAGCTAGTCATAGCAAGTGACAAGCATATAGCCAGTCTTCAGTAATTGCTCAAAGAATAAATTTGTTAATATAAGCCCATTAAAAAATATATCTCATCCACCATGCATAATGATGCTGAAACTTGGCCACTTTAGATTAATTCCTCAGGATCTTCATGTCTTTTGTGTTTTTCAGCTGTCTTGGGTAAAGTACTTTATCAGATAAAGAAGTGGTTTAAAGCATTCTCTCTCTTTGGGAGTGAGAAATAGGATGGTGGGAGAAGGGAAGGAAGAAGAGAAGCTGTGGTACCAGGAGAAAGACTTGAGGGACAAGGAAGAAGAGTCAGAACAAAACATCCAACTTTGTGAAACTGAGTGGAAAAAAGGAAACATTCTGGCTAAGGAAGATCCATTATAGCCTTTGCCAATGCTTACACTTCATTTCACTAAGAAGGAAAATCCCATCAAGTACCCCCAGGATCTGGTTGGTTAAAGTAATGGGTAGATTCATTCATGCATATTAGCCTAATGAATTTTCATCAACCCTAAGGGAAGTAGTGTTATCCTTTGAATTTTAGTAAAGAAATGAAAAGTCATAGAAAGTCACAGAACTTAGTAGTGGAACTGAAATTCAAACCCAAGCCTTTTACTCCAAGCCGCACCTTTTTGTCACACTACATAACTGGCTAACATTTGGCCATTTAGCATATTTGGCAGTGTGTTAGGAACTTGGCAATAACTGTGAATAATTTTAGCTTATTGGCCCTCGCTAATATCCTTTGGTTGTTAAATTCTATTGTTGAGCTATGGTGACAAGTATCTACAAATCATTGACTAAAGGTTCTCTTTGAAACCAGCCTGAATCTGCTTTGTTTTACCTTATTATGAGTAAATTCCTTTTTGATATCCAAAAGATCAAAGAGAACATGAGGTTTAAGGTCCTGCAGGTCTTGTAACATCAACATTCTATGCCATTTTAAACTTCATAATCCAAATCCAGTGTCCTTATTTTAAGAAAGCTGTATCTTCTAGAAGGCTAACATTCAAATGCAGAGGGAAAATACAGACACACTCTGGGATTGCACTCTTGCATTCACATTTTGCATAGCTTCAAGTTCATAGAAATTCAGAACAGCATAAAAATTTCTCAAGGTATTTAATCTTACAGGAAACACTTATTTGTGGATATTCCATCTCTTATGAAATAGATTACCAAAAAGGCAATAATCTTTATGTCTTGCATTTTTGGCTTCTCTCATTCCAGCATTTTGTAAATGATCCTAAAAAATGGCACATTAGATCCTTGAAGTATAAATGGATATTTTGTGAATATCGATGTACACTATTGTATAGTACCCAAGTGTAAGTGATTCATAAAGCCTATTGGCATTTAAAATTTTTGTTTTAGTTTTCAGATGGACACAATACCTTTATTTATTTATTTTTATGTGCTTCTGAAGATCAACCCAGTGCCTCATGTGTAGTATTCAAGCGCTCTACCACTAAACCACAACGCCAGCCACTCTGTTGGCATTTTTTAAATCTCTGTACAAACCTATAGTAAACAAGTCGACCCTATTTCGTCTTGAAACTTTATTTCCAGGAATGCCCATTAACATCCTTGAAACTTGGGCTTTTGGGAAAAGATTTGGAAAATGACTCCATTTTTATATTTTTGTTATTAGAGCATGTTTATAAGATTAGAAAGGACAGATAAAAAGTTAATACAAAAATGACCTATAATTTCACCTCTTAGAAGATTACTATTAACAGGTTTATACTTTTTTAACTCCTTTTATAAGAGTTCAAAAACGTACTTTTTTCAAAAGAAACAATATGCATTAATAAATTATTTCAAATTAAAAATAAATGTTAATCTAACTAAAATGACTAAAATTTTGTGAGGATGTGGAGCAACAAGCTCTCTTACACTCTGGAAAACCATTTCTCAGTATCCTACAGTTATAAACCAGAAATTCTACTCCTAAGTATATTCAAATAGAAATGCATATACCAGAACACAGACACTACAATGTACATAGCAACACTATAGTAGTCCCAAAACTACAAATAGTGCACATGTCCATCAGTGTTATAATGGATATATTGTATATGCATATGATGGATACTTTCTGGAATGAATACTTCTTTAGCACCTGTCCTATGTATTGTGATTGGGAGATGCTTACCAATACAACTGATTTCACCCACTAAAAGCCAATAGCATACCATGCCACCACCACTGACCCTATTGTAGCAAACAAAAACATCTGCAAACATTTTGTCCCATTATAGGAAAAAATCCTCCCCTTCCTCTACCACCAAGAACCATTGGTATAAAAGGATGCTTATGTTATTTTCAACAATGGGATTCAATGAACATCTTGGTATTATTACTATAAACCACACTTTACAGATGGGAACACTGGGGCTGAGTTGCCCAAAGTTCCATTACTATGAGTAGTAAAGGTAAGATTTGAACACAGTTCTGTTGCCTCCATAGTTTATGATTATAATCTCCCCTCCCAACCTTCTCAAATTTTACTACCCAGCAGGTTTTAGAGACTACTCTAAAGGGTATGGTTAGAACAGTGGAATATTAGTACTTGTTGAGCGTAAAAACAAATGTTAAAGTACCTTCACTCTGACAAGCATCCTTCAGCTTTTTTCAGGCTTCCAAAAAGTTCTTATATTAGAAAAAATTTAAAAAGCCCTTTGTGATAAATATTTTAACCAAATAGAAAACTGCAAAGAATTTTTCAACAAATAGCTAATGTAATATCACCATAGATTGTATATTTAACTATGTTGACGTGCCCTGAGAGCTAATCTAATTTAGAGGGATAATCAATCCAACATCAGGATTGTAGAGCATTCTGGACCAGGTAGCTCCACCCTCATCACCATCAGTAACACACTACTAGTCCCACCTACTCCAGATTTCATCTCCTCAATGCTGGCCAGATATCTCATGACAAGACAAATAAGCAACAGAGGCAGAGTGAAATAAATGCAAATTTAGTAGAGCTGTTAATATTGAATACTTACTGCATAGCAGGCATTTAATATTTTTCCATCTGTTGTCTCAATTTATTCCACAAATATTTATTAAATGCTTTCTGTGTGGTCAGATGGGGCACAGGTGCATCATAGATGTGTTCCCTGTCTCTCGTTTTTTCCTCTATGAAGCACATGGAAGAAAGACATGAAATAACTAGTTGCTTAAATAAATAATTAGAGGGGGTTGGAGGGAGGAGACTTTCTGAAGAAAATTCTATTGAGCTCTAGGAAGGAGTATGAGCTCACATTTCCAGACTATCAAATAACATTCAGAGGCAGGATGGAGAAGGGCATAGTCAAGAAAGTGAGAGAAGACAACTACAGCTAAAGAGAGGAAGACCCAGGCCAAAGCAAGCAGGGCCAACTCATTCTAAATATTTTAGGGATTCTTATTTTTGCTCTCCACCTGTGGCAAAGGCAAACCATTGAAAAATTTTCAAGTAGTGGTATGTCATTATTACATTTGGAGTTCTCTTTTATTTTCTCTAATATTCTCACTAATTATCACATTCTTCTCCAAAACTTGCTTACTCAACTATATTCATTACCAGAAGAATAACATAGGTCAGGATTCTTATTGTTTCCTCCTTATGAACAACCAAAGACTCCTTCACAATACAGCCCTTAGAAATGTCTTCTCATGGACCAAGATTTCGGCTCAGTGGCAGAGCACTTGCCTAGCATGCAAGAAATGTTCGATCCCTGGCACCACATAAAAATAAATAAAATGAAAGTATCATGTCCATCTACAACTAGATAAATATATATATATATATATATATATATATATATTTAAAAGTCTTCTCATGAAGATTGGGACTTCTGCTGAAACCATGAACCAAGCCCTTGAAAGCCTAACAAAGGATATGTTAGCATTGATTCCATTTCCATTTTGTGCTGTGAAATAAGAATAGTCTTTATGAGAAATACCTAGTAAATATAATATGATGAATAAAGAATGATTGTTAATAAAGTTGTAAGTAGATAAATTCCCAGCGAGTCTAATATGAAGTCGGACAACCATCATCATGGGCTGTAATTTTAAAGTCTGTTTTCCTGAATAACTCATCCATCAATTCATTACTTTCTTATCTTACTAGTGGTGAACTAATCTCCATAATAGCTGAGCTGATCTTTCCCAGACGGTCTCTGACAAGCATGTTAGGACGGCTTCCCTTGACCATGGCCATCTGATATACAGAAGAGGAAAAGCTTCAAGTGTTTGGACATTACCATGGTTGTGAATTTCTCTCAAGAATTTATCATACTGCACAATTCCTGCTTTTTAATTAAGCCTTCTCCTACTTTCACTTTCATATTATGTTTCTTGTTTGTTCAATTTTCTCCAATAACAAACTGAAAATGAAATTTCACAGTTGTTTTTTTTACTCCTCAGCCTCAATTTTATAGGCTTTATTAATTCCTTCAGAGTATAATTTATCTGGATTTCTAGTTTTTCTATTCATAAAACAAAAGGGATTTGAATTTGATATCCTCTTCCAGCTAAATATTTCTTTTTTTTTTATTCTTCCCATTATTTGGACGTAAAAAGAATAATTTGAGAAATATGACCAGTGAGTTACATTTGCCCCTTCACAACTTGTTTTGAGAACCTTCCTTTCTGTAACTGGATACCAAATATTTCATATTTTACCCACGTTGTTGGCTTCTGAAAGAATGAATACAGCCAGGCTTCTTTCAACAGCACTGAATGAGAGCATCCATTGTTTACCATTAGGGCTCAAAATAAAATATTCTAGTTTAACAACTAGGAGAAAAAGAGAGACATGTGACTAGTTCCATTTTGTGCTTGGTTTTGAAAATGTCAAAAATGCCTGTGGTTGTTTTAAAAATTTGGTATATTGCCCCTTTGTTAGGGTGTCCTCTTGAAAGGTTATTTGGGAAAAAGTCACACTTGGGAAATTATTGGTCTCTCCCATTTCAGTCCCTCTAGCTCATCTTTCCTGTGAGAGCTGAGCCTTATGTACTTTAGAGCTGGGGTTTGGGCCTTGCATGAGGTGACCATTTGCCTTACTCCTCCCAAAGAAGAGATGTCTAGATTTTCTCTATCCCTTAAGGTCTCCACATAGACTGCATACATTTTTATCAGGTTGATTTGTTCTTTTTTGCTTGACTAGGTTGGTTTTTTTTTTTTTATGTTAAGTTTTCATCGGTTAAAAAAAAAATCAAATAATTTGCTAATAAATGCAAATCATAGGATGGTCAAGAATAAAAAGGAAAAAAAGGCCACAACTCCCATTACTTATTATACAAGCCCATTTTCATATAAACAGATGTTTGAAAAGTCATCTCTAATACAAAGGAGGGGAAAAGAGAAAAGTTCTAGAAACTAATAATGAAGACAGCAACAATTTTGTGTCTTAATTGTTGGGCCTATATGTTATGATATTTTCCATCTCTTTACCCATGTTTTTTTTTTTAAATAACTATTCTACTTACTCCTCCCACCCCAACTTCCTAATGTCAGAGTTAAAGCCAAAAAAACATCAAACACCCAAGTTTGATGCTTTATTTGCCCCAGAAAGTTGTCATTTAGCATCACATAGAAGACATATAATGGAATTAATTGGTCATCAGGTGTTTTAGTCAGCTTTTCATCACTGTGACCAAAATACCTGATGAGAACAACATAGAGGAAAAGTTAAAATAAGCTCAAGACAGGACAGCCAGAAAGCAAAGCAGAAGCTCTCTTTACCAGGGACAAAATATAAACCCCAATGGCACACCCCCAGTGACCTACTTCCTCTAGCAACATCCTACCTGCCTGCAGTTACCACCCAGTTAATCATATCAGTGGAGGATTAGCGCACAATTCTCATAATCCAATCATTTCACCTCTAAACATTCTTGCATTGTTTCATACATCAGCTTTTGGGGGACACTTCACACCTAAACCACAACATGAGGCAGACATTTAAAAACCAAAAAACAAAGGCATTAGGACAAAGAAAACACCCAATCAAAATTGAGTTCCATGCCTTATCACCACATGCATGACATACTTCCAGAATTTCTTTAACTAGGAATAGTACTATTCATTCCATATTTAGGGAGGACAGAAAAATTGCAAATATTCCTACTGAAGGTAACTAGTTGAATCAATTTTACTTTGTGTTTCATTCCCAGAAAGTTGATTTTGTCAGTGCTCACTGGGGTTTCAGAGAGGAAGGAATGAGGTACAAGGAAAGAAGACAAGAGAGGAGTTGGGAGAACAGTAGAGAAAAACTTCACCTGATTGTGAAGTTTGCCTGGGGATAGGTTTGAGTGTTGTTAAGATGGGTGGACCCTTGAATCCTATTTAAGCACTCCAAGCTGGCCCAGAATTCAGTCCTTGATGGTTCTTCCAATCAGACACAAATCTCCAGAGTTAGACCTTACCGACACAGGCAAAGTCTGAGCAAAATGGAATTATGAATACTTTACCCCTCCTTTAGAGAGCAAAGCCATTTACACTTGAGTTATATATGTACTGTACTATGTGCTTTATAAAAGGACTTTGCTATTAAAAACATTTTAAGGTGATGAAACCAATTCTGAGAGGCCATCAGATGTGTCTATCATCACTCAGGTGAGAGACATGCAGGATTATAAGGTATGAACAGCTCCTTGGGCCATATTACTTTATGAAAGCTTACTTTTCTAAATTTAAAATAACTATATGCTTATCCATTTACTATCTCATCCATGCTCCATTTACCCACTCCTAAATATCTCACTCTTTCCATTATAGAATATTGATATAAACATTTAGTTAGGGAATCTCCATTTAGGATACTAGACCCAAAGAAATTCAACAAAAAGCAATATTTTACTTGTTGATTTAAATGTCACTTTAAAAAACTAACTATTTTTTACTGGCACTTAGAGTGCATTTTACAACAAATCATGGCTAACCATTAATTTCTATGCTAGGCAAAATTATGAACTAATTGAATCTTTTGAGACCTCAGTCACATAAACTATCTTATCACATCTTAAGATCTAGAAATCATTTGCACTCCTGATTAAGTATTTCAAAATAGACAAAGGGATTTTATTTTTATAGGACCTAAAGCTTCAAGATGCTGACTGACTTTCAAGAACCTTCTGTTTATGGGCATCATAAATATACACAGCATTTTCCAAAATTATTTGGCCTCAGAATGTTTTGGAAATGCTAACCACTAGCCACCTTTTGCCTGCAATAGTCCAGTTTTCCTGTATATATCCCTAAGGAGTAGAAACTATAAATGAATGATCCAAAATGAAATTTAAAAATTTCATTAAATGAATAAAATACTTAATAATTTAACAAAAGAAGTGCAAAATGTATACTCCGAGAGTTGCAGAACACTATTGGAAGAAATAAGATCTAAATTAATGGAGAGAATTCCCATGTTCATGGACTGGAAGACAACATTATTAAGACAGCAATACTCCCCCAAATGACCTATGAATTCAACACAATCCTTAGCAGAATCCCTGCTGGTTTCTTTGTAGAAATTAACAAGCTGATCCTAAAACTTACAAAATTCAAGGGATCCAGACTCACCAAAACCACCTTGAAATAGAACAAAGTTAGAGGATCTGCACTTCAATTTCAAAACTTACTCCAAAGCCACAGTACTCAAGACGGTGGAAATGGCATCAGGACAATCATAGAGATGAATGGAATACAGTTTAGACTCTATAAATAAAGCCATTTATCTATAGTCAATTGCTTTTTAACAAGGGTATTGATACCACCCCCAAAAAAAGATTAGTCTTTTCAATAAATGGTACTGGAACAACTGGATAACCACATGCCAAATACTGAAGTTGGATGCCTACTTCATACAGTACACAAAAACTCAGTCAAATCAAGGACCTAAATGAAAGAATCAAAAGCTATAATACTAGGGCTGGAGTTGTGGCTCAATGGTAGAGCGCTCGCCTCGCACATGCGTGACCCTGGTTCGATTCTCAGTACCACATAAAAATAAATAAGTGAAATAAAGGTATTGTGTCCAACTACAACTAAAAAATAAATATTAAAAAAGCTATAATACTGAAAAAAACTTAGGAGCAAATCTTTGTAACCTTGGATATGGCAATGGATTCTTAAATATAGCATCAAAAGCATAAGCAACAAAAATGTAAACTGGAGTTTATTAAAATTAAACACTTTTATGCTGAAAAGGATACCATCAAGACAGTGAAAAGACAACCCATGGAATGGGGGAACATATTTGCGAAATTATATATCTAATAGTGGGCTTTTTTTGTAGAACATAGAGAAAACTTAAAATCCCCAATAAAAAGACAACCCAATTTAAAAATGAGCAAAAGAGATCTAAAATGACATATCTGCAAAGCATATATACAAATGACCAGTAAACACATTAAAAAGACTCCATATCAGTCAGGTAAATAAAAATCAAGACCACAATGGAATACCACCTGACACCTCTAGGACGGCAACAAAGAGATAATAAATGTTAGCCAGCATGTAGAAAATTTCTAGCCAACACTCATCCACTTGTAGGAGTGTAAAATGGTACAGCCACTTTGGAAAACAGTCTGAGAGTCCCTCAAAATTTGAACTTGTAATTACCATTTGACTCAGCAATTTTCATTCCTGAGTGTATAACCAAAAGAACTGAAAATATGTTCACACAAAAGCTTGTACATGGTTGTTCGTAACAGCATTATTCATGGTATCTAAAAGGTGGAAACAACCCAAATACCCATCAAATGATGGGCGAATAAGCAAAATGTGGCATATATATATATATATATATATAAATTATTTGACCAAACAAGGAATGAAGTACTAATACATGCAATTATATGAATGGATTTTTAACACATTATCCTAAGTGAAAGAAACCTGTCAAAGCAGACTATATTATATGTTTCCATGTATATGAAATATTCATACAGGAAAACACATAGAAAATAGAATAGTGATTAAGGCTCAGGGCAGGGGAAAATAGGATTGAGGGGGTGGTAGGTTAAGGGGACAGGATTCCTTTTTTTAATTTTTTTTGAAGTTGTAGGTAGACACAATATGTTTATTTCATTTTTATGTGGTGCTGAGGTTTGAACACAGTGCCTCACATGTACTAACCAAGCACTCTGTCACTGAGCCACAACCCCAACCCCAGGATTTCTTTGTAAGGGGATGAGATATTCTAAAATTGATGTGCGATGAAGTTTGCACAACACTATGAATATTTTTGTGTACTTTAAATGGATGTATGAATGATATATGATTTATATTTCAAGGAAGCCATTTTACTCCAAAATCTGTAGCAGTTCTCCAAGACCTGGTTAATGGAATGGTTCCCTTCATAGAACCATTTTGTTATTAGTCCAAGAAGCACAATCCTCTGTCTCACACACAGGCTTCTGTCAGTAATTCTGACCTACAACATTCACCCCTAACAGAATGCTTTCCCATGAGGTTGGTGATTGCAGGTCCCAGAGCAGGGGAGGGGTGGGGGCAGGTGCAAATAATCATGAATGGTTCCTTCAAAGTTTCCCGATTGGCAGGTCAAGATTGAGGCCAGGAAGCAGAGAAGTATCAGGGAAGTACCAGAGTCCAGAGCAGCGGTAGGATTTGAAAGGGATCAGGGGGAGAGAAAGAACAGGAGCAAAATTACGAAGATAATTTAAGGTCTGGAAGTTAAACAAGATAAGCATCCAAGACAAAAGCAATGCCAAATGCCAATTTATTCTAATTTAGCATCCTTAAGCAGCACCTAGAAAACTAAAAAAATGTGGGTGCCTGGCTGTCACCCTC